GAGCCCTAAAGAACACCACCTTAGAAATTGTCATTGAATTGAATAAATTGATGTCCATTGGCTATAATTCACAAACTTTGTAGGCGATTTCAACGATACCGTGATAAAAATACCTATAGTAGACTATAGTAGACTCATTATTAACAACAGCAGCAGACACATATTATTATATCACAAAGATAAAATAAGAGGTTTTTTTATGGGCAAATTAACTTTTGCAGCACGCGTATTATTTGGAGGGAGCATATTTCTCTGGCGTATGATTGACACTGGCATTGTCAATATTTTTCCACGACCAAATCGTCACATTTGCCCCACCGCCGAACTCAAAGCTGATCTTTCGTACTGGGCTGAATATCTAATCTTTTCCTACGGCACCCGTTTCTTTGTCGACTCCAAACCAATGGATGTATCAGTTAACTAATATTGATGGCCAAAACAGTCTCTTTGACTTAACAAAAGATACATTTGGAATAGTACAACGAAAATTGTAAACAGATCGACACAGCGAAGGTACAGAAGGCCTCATCGGCCAAACACGTCGCTTTCCACCTTTGTTCAACTGTCGCGTGCCTGTTAAACTGATAGGATCACCCGTGTTCGGAAGCTTGATGATATAATATGAAGCGGTGCATCATGGGATATATGAAATTCTCCCCTTTGGCTAACACATAGTAAGAACAGCAAGAAAACAACTCAAAGGACGACATCTGCTATTTTGGAGAATATTTTTAAAACAAAACAATCTCCTAAACTTGCCGATAAACAGGCAATTGAAGATGAACTTAACATCGATGGATCGATGGAGGTAAGCATGTTTTAGCTTGTTTTTAAACGACGGATTATTTTGAATGAATAAAAAAACGATTATTGAATTCGGCTTTCTCTGGGTATTCCGCTTCTGCCCTCTCCTAAAAAACAAACATGTCTGAAATATCGTTCATTCAGAATTAATGTTAGATGAAAGAAGAGGTTGGACACGCCCCGATTTATGCATCTTCGCATCTTCGTAGGAGTAATCAACCGATCACATCACCGCATTTAAATATAGAATCTAAAGGATTCTGGTACTTGTAATAAATTGACGTCATCGTGCAAATGGCCTTTTAGCTAATAAGAAGTAAAAGTAGGTTGAGCGTGATCGTCCAGGTGCGCGTAGTCCTGAATAGGACTGTTGTTGTTGACTGTGAGTCACTGTCAACAACAACAGTCCCATTCAGGACTACGTTCACCCGGACGATCAAACTCAACCTAATTTTGAAATGACTCCTGGGTTCAAACCTTTCCTAATAAGAAGTAAGTAAACCGGCAACTACTCAGCGCGTCATTTTGCTTTTGACGGGCAGTATTTCAGTCATCTTTTGTCAACAGGAAAAGGCTGACTGTAAATTTCATATGTTTGATCTTCTTGCCAGCTCTTGACCTAGATTCTTAATGTATTCTGCTTTATTTGATCAGCATTGGCACCAAGCACTCAAAAA